AAAAAAGTTTAGCGCTTTTTAGGCGTAGGCATTTTCATGTTTCCTAGTTCCAGATTAACTACATCTGTAGCAAAGATTTGTTGCTTTTCCTTTCGTTATTTATGCGAATTTTTTCCTTTCGTTATTCATGCGAATATTAATTTCAGCTCGCATGTAATAAGGGATGTTTCATACTTCTGCATCTCCTTGAAAATGCATCTCCGCAAACTCAAGAATTGGTGAGAAATACACTGTCCTTAGCAACAGTAGAAAGGTATCACACAAAAGGAGCTGTTGTATTAAAGCAGAAATTGAAGTAATGTTATTAGTGTATGTAATTTTCTCGCAATGTCATGCTTAAATAAATTGTTGCTCTGTTTTTCTGTTCGGCTAATGTTCATTCAGTGGTTTCCAACTTGTGGTGCGCGAGAACTGAAGTATGGTCCGTGAGAGCGCCGGCGAGTGAGTAGAAAAGAGATGGGAGCCGTTCTTATCAATGTTTAGTGAATTAATACGTCAAATCAATGTTTAGTGAATTAATACGTCAAAAGTCTCGATTAAAGTTTATTTCCAAATTAACGGAATTAATTTTTGAACCTAAAAATCCTGCCACAAATAAAAAAGCGTGGGTGGTCCTTGGTCAAGAAAAAGTTAGGAACCAATAAGCTAAAGGAAGAGAGATGAATGAGTTTTCTTCACAAAGTATGGTGTGAAGTCTATTGTATGACCATTTTGATCTGTATTATGATCATTCTGATCTGTATTATGCTGTGGGATCTGAAAGAAAGTTTTCTTTTTTCTTGTTTGGTGCTTACCCTCGTTTCTGGAACTTAGTGGTTAGTGCTTATACAACAAACGAACCGGAAGGGTATACAATGAACTGACAGGTATTGAGAAGTCAGTTTTTTTATCACTTGTAATTTTACATGCGAACAGTAACATAATAAAGCATAATCTAAATACTCTACCAAATATGACATCTTTCAATAGTTAGGGTCACCCAAATTAATTGCGGAGACCAGCTTACATATTAAACGATTCCCTGCGTGTACAAAATTGTTCTGCAATGGACTATTTCAAGCGATCAAATGATTTTAACGGCATTTTGTTGTTACCTTTCAGGGACAAGAATTTTGTGGTTGAAGAGATGTAGATTTCGATTTCCTAGGGTGATCATTTTTTGATATTCTTTGGCACGCAGTAAATGAATTCATAATGTAATATAGGTTGAAATAAAAAAAACAATAATTCTACACAGTATACAAACAATAATATTACTACTTCTTTGGAAGCACACTTTGGGAATTAATTATATCGAGGAAGTCGTCGTATACATTAAATTGCAAGGGTTTAAGCTCAATTTCTTCACTGCAAACTTTGTCACTCCGAAATGGATCGTGTGGTGCCGTCGCCTCGATCACATCATTTTCTAGCACTATTTCTATCGATGACATGGATTCTGATCCCCAAGATGAACTTAATTTTGCCTTTGAACATTCTGATTCGGTAGTTAGCTCCAACTGACTCTTTTTTCTACATTTCTCCAATTGTACAGCTTCTGATTTGGTTCTAGAATCAGCCATTCGTTTCACCAAAACACATTCGTTGTACTTTAAAATATGCGATAGTCATGACAGCTTCATCTTATGATAGTTTTCATAAAAAATTTTGGGATGGTATATGATCATCAAAACACCACAGAAGATTATTATTATTTTTTTGAGGGAAGTTATCAATACCCAGAAAAAGAAGTATTATCCAAGTAATCATCTGTTTGTTCAGGAGAAAGCTGTGGTGACGACAAAGAAGATCCTGATAACCAATCCAGACACTTTTCTAAATCTATTCGTACCGGATCGTGGATGAAGTGACACTGATCACCGTAAGGACAATAACCAAATGTTGTGTATTTGATACACAGCGCAGTGCGATAACGAGGATTGTTAAAAACTTTCTGAAAAGCAAGGTGAAATTTCACTACATCTCTTCAACTAGCGTAATCCAACAGCTTTTCAAAGTGAAGGTCGAATTGAAACCCGTAAGAATGCCATCACCACAAAGCACTTTGATAGTTTTTGCAAAATCGTTAAATACCGTTAAAATTAAAATTATTTCTTATTCACTGAAAGGAAATGCACAGTAAAATTGGTTTCTGAGAATATCGTCGAATCTGGCATGCTGAAATCTGCTAACCACTTCTGCTTTTGGCATCGGCCTTAACTCTTCCGGGCCGTGTGCAAACTTGCAACGTTTCCCGTAATTACAACGACCAGTATCTTTCCAGGCTTGACATGGCACCGTCTGAAATCTATACTACCGTCAGCGTGTAAAAACTTGGGGGACATCTTGATATCATCCTATAAAGCACAGCCAACATCCAGCAATGATTGGGCTGTCTGAAGGGTTGAGAAATTAATAAAAACTATTTAATACAATTGTTGTCTTTTAGCTAACTGCATTTCATGCCGATTACCGACAAGAACGTTATATCTCACAACTTGTTTTTCCTTTTAAAACAATTACTCAAGTGGATAGTAGAAATACCGAGAAATCAGTGGAAAGTTGATTGATTTTATGCTTCTACTGCATCATTTGTCACAGAAAGCTTTGACATAATTAAAAATATAAGTCCACAACTAAAACCCAATGATTCATCTTTCTGTTTCGTCTACACATTTCGATTAAACATTAGATTAACACATTTTTAAAAACTGAAAGTCATACTTGAAGACTTGAAGACTGACGAATGCTAACCTTATGAGTTTCAGCTTTCCGTTTTTGTTTCCGTTCAGCTAGTAACAGTTGTGACTGATAAATAAACTGGAACCATTGCCAAATATACAGATCATTGTTGTGAAAGTCTGTAAGACTTAGGGAAGTCTTTAGAGAGAAGTCCTGGGACTTCTCTCCTAACACCTTTCGTTCCATCACAACATTCATATTTTGTTGCTTGAAGCTAACTTAAAATGATCAAAACTATTCCATCTACTCAACCAATATATAATGAAGTTTATAAAGGTAAATTTGTTAAATTTTCGGATTTTTTAAATGGACAAATAATATATATGCTGAAGTGAATTCTGAAAGCCAAACAAAACTAACCCTCCGCTTTCAATGACTAAAGTTCTAACTTTTGTTTGCTGTGAATATTAGTTATCACAATTCCAAGCCCTTTGGATGGGCATTGTTCTACACAGCGCTTCACAACTGACTCTTTTTGCCGCCATGATTAGACTTTCCTCCGTAGGTTCTTTCCTTTTTTACAGTAATTTAATACTGCGTACATTTTCTTAACTAATGGCTATGTTAAAAACAAAAATTTTTGGATTAAATCAAGCAAGTGCAGTAAAATTGTTTGAAAAGCAGTAACTGGAATGAAAATGGATAACCAACAGTTTAAGGCTCTAGGATAAAGCAAGGATTCATCTACACATTCGCGAATGCAGAAAATCTTTTCTTACTTCACACTTATGCTTTACCTAATCTTTTCTTTCTGCAAATGAAGACAGTTAAACTTATTTCAAAATTTGAAATCATCCTTTATTATCTGTATCCACTGTGAATCAGCTAAATGATCCTGATAATTCATATCTTGGATTTCTTTCAATAACTTTGCTTGTAACCGGTGTGTAGCTGCTTTCAAATTTTGAAATCGTGTTCCAGAAGAAATTGAATCGTTCCAAAATAAAGTTGGAAGCAAAAACAGATTTAAAATTTGAAATCATCCTGTTGTTTTTTACTTGACTTGTTAAATTAATAATTTTATATCGCTCTATTAGGGTATTCATTTCCTTCTTTAAATGAAAAATTAAATCTAAACAAATTATATCGTTTGTCAGATAGCTAAAAGACCTCACTTATTTTGTTTGACACTTTTCGTAACCATCGGCTGCTTCTTAAATCTGATAGCCATCAGTTGCGAATTCCTAATCAGTCATCTTAGATTTTCGCTCCTTCCTTCTATTCTTATGTTAATATCAAATATTTGAGTGAATTATTGGGTATGCATCTTATCGGTGCATTTAGATTTTTTTTTATTTTTTCATTTTTCAAGTCAAAGTTTTGAGAAATACAACAAGAAAATTAATCGTTAAGAAAATCTAATATTTCAACAATAGATTTTTAAAAAAATTTAGAGGATATTTTTTAAACCCTCCAGAAATTTCAGATTACAGACTAATATTTTTAACTCGAGAGAATTTGCATCAATTTATCTACCTTTTTTGGTCTCCAATGATATATGGTTGTTTTTCTATTTTTGATCTTCAATTGTAGACAATCAATTTTATCTTGCAAACAGAATTTTTGAATTATACAAATTTAAAAAGTAATTAAACAAGTAATGTTGAATAGTGACATTGATCAAAGTATGGCAAGTGGATTAACTGTCAGCCATTTTTGAACAAGAAGTAAGACAATGATATTTTCATTCTCTCCTTTTCTTAATTAGTGCCCAATATTTCACGTTTAATGCGCATATCTCTCTAACCAGGATATCTAAACAGTATGATCCAACATTTTTCAACGACAAGGAAATTCTTCTACTGTGAATGGAAGATTTTGAAATCTGATTCACTACTGATTAATTAAGCTTGGCATCCAATTTGCGTGCGACCTTTAATGTTTTCGCATATCTAAGGAACTATTAATGGTACTACACAACCTGAACCTTTTTTCTTTCAGGTAGATTACTGTGCACAAGAGCAAAGTGAATACATTTTATTTGAATATCCTTAACATTTAAGAACTACAGAGATGTAAACATGTAAAGATGTGATGAAATCATTTTTTCAAATTAAATCAATAAATTTGTGTTGATATTGTTAGAGTATTACTTCTCTACTTTCCAAGCAGTTGTCCAGTCAAACTTCCGATTCTCAAAAGCTTCAAACAGTTAGAGCTAAAAGTTTAAAAGCTATAATCAACAAATATTCTTTTCGTTTTCACCGGTTCATTCCATTTTCTGCTATTGCCAAGTTCATGGAATAAAAACTGTTGCACGCGATCCCACATTTCTCGTTCACAATATATGCCCTATAAACATTGCTGATATTTAATTTCCGCAACTTTCAAATTACATTTAATCAAATGTAAACTTAATTCATCAGCCTCATCAACCGATCAACTTTTCTTAAAACATTTTTATCCTCCTTCCTAGTCAACTTTTCTTGAAATATAAGAAGATGAAAATGCTTTAATGGTCAAATTTTACCTGATGAGTAGCTTTATCAAGGTAAAAGGGTTTGGTAGCGTTAGGGAGTAGGCTTTGTAATACAACACTGTGATTGATAGAAACGATCAAATCCTTAACTCCGTGACAGATTAATGTACGACAAGGTACCTTTGATACTTTATCAATGCTGAAAAAACATGCTACACAGGATTTTTATGAATATTGATAAGAAAGTAAGGTATTTAATAAAAGATACAGTATTCGTAACAATCTTCTCTAGAATTATCAATAATATATTTAGTGTATGATTCAATAATTAACCGACAAGAGCTACCGATAAATCAGTCCGTTACTTTAGAAGTAGGCTCAGATTATCGACAAATAACATTCCGTTCATAATCCGTTCGTTAAACTGTCAATAGTTTGGAGAGCAAGTCAAACAAAAAGAATTCCCGACCTGTTTGAAGCTTTTAGAAATATATTTCATTTTGTGAATTACCATTTTTGTAATTGCCACATTGCAATGAGAAATCGAAATTTTATTAAACCATCACAAAATGATTATTAATTTCCTCAGTCGTACAGCACAAGTATACAAAATCTCTCAAATAGAAAAGAGACCTTGAGAACTGATCCAAACAACAAGTCTTTTTACAGTCTGGTTTCCGTCTAAGAACACGTAATAGTGATGTGAAAGGGGCAATTAGAACCAAACCCGCCACCTATAATAGCATATTTCACACCTTTAAATTACTGTTTTCCATCCAAAATGTTGATTTTGATTATCAAATATCCACGACGACTAAGTTATTCTGTTTCTGTCATTTATTTTATGCCAGAGGGACCTGTTACTGCTGAAGCACGCATGCGAGATATTATCCCCACCGACCTGTTTTTTAGACATGAACTAATGGACTTAGTGATTTTGATATTACTGCTGCAAGCTAGCACTAAAAAATCTTTCCTTACTAAAAATGCATGCAGCTGAGCTTATCTCGTTTCTTTCTTTTTGTTACAATGAATTCGAAAAGATTGAAATAAATGATTGAATTTTGTGAATAAATGATTGCAAAGAAACTTAACGGAACTTTTTCACGTGATGCCAAATGAATAGCAACCGCCGTGCCCATACTGAATCCAATTAGAATTACTTCATTTGGTTGTGTTCTCATTTCTTTAATTAAATACCTAAAATACTAAAATGATAACTTTCATTCCACTGAGCTCATATTGCAAGTTTAGTTAAATGCTTTATGATATGTTTCTACTTAAATGTTAACTAGCAAGTAATAAGGTGGCTTGTGTTAGTATGATCAGTACATTTCGATATCTTTATAGTATCATTGCACGGAAAACTTTGACAATTCATCGTTCCTATTTGCACATATGAATAGTAATAAGCATCATGTCTATCTGATATCCGTCAATTAGTTTTCTGTAGAACCTAAAGATAACGGATGAAAAAACTCCCACCTACGTCCGCTTTCTATAAAAAATTTATCACAAAACAAACTGATAAACGGTTTCCATATTCTCATAAACAATTTTTTCTGTTGGGGTTCCGGTGCTCAACCCAAAACCACTGTAATCAAATGCCATTAGATCACACTGCAAGAAATCTGCTATATCAACCTGAAATTTCAGCAATAAATTGGGCATGAAATGTTGGAAACTCAACTGTCAAGAACTTAAGACAAAGTCTTCAGAATTAAACAGCAAAAAATTTGCAAAATACGAAAATCTAAAGCCAATTTCACTTGAAAACAGAAATTAATAAATTAGAATTCTTTAGCTGTCCTAAATTTAACGTTTTATTTACCGATATGGTAAAGAGAAATCTACCAAGTTGGGATCGGTAAGCATGCATGATCCAACATCTGAACTGTTTGGCTGAGCGAAAAGTATCACATAGGGTGCTGATTTCTTGCACTGATAGGATTTCTCACATCGGACATATAGAGCCACCAGAGTATCGCCATTAGCTGATGCTATTAAATGTACCTGATCATGTCAAAATGTAAAAAATTTTCGGAAGAAAAATTTCTGATGCTCAGTTTTTTGGTTTGAAAGAAATAAGTATGACAACTTTCTCTTTGGTTGGTAAATTATTTCAAAATTAACTCTCAGAGCTTCTTATTTAACTTAAAGTACGAATAAATATATTAAAGTACGAATAAATATTATTGTAACTTCAGGAAACCGAATACAATGTACAGTGATAGCAAAAATTTTGCTAATAGCATTATAAGACAAAACCATCTTAGCATTACGATATTACTCACTTCCACGTAAAAACAATCAAAGTATCGATATTCGGGATTCTGTTATTGTGTTGAATATAATGGTGGTAAGAAGTTTCAGAAAATATTAAAAAGTTTGACAGATTTTCGAATAATTTGATACAAAATTTCATTTTAAATGATACGATTTCCAATATGTCCAACCTCAATTCGTAACAGTTGATCAGCAACATCCGAATTTTTGAATTTTGGTAGCAATAAATGAGGCAAGCAAATGGTTAAATTTGTACTTTCTCGAGCGCTTTTTGCATCGCGAAAATATTGGCGCTTTCCTGCCTAAAATTGTACTTTTAATAAATTAATATTTTATGTATGTTTTTGAAGAAAAAAAAGTAGCATCAAGTAAAGGAGTGTATTTATGAAGCAAGTATTGTTGAATTACTGCAATATTCACAGACATCTTTTGAAAATTTCGCAAGTCATTGATATTTGTTTGTTTACCTTACCTTATCTTTTCTGCATAAGGCTCGGCAATATGATTCGCATACAATGATGCTTAATTTGGTGCACGAGGAACCTTTTTTATTTAAAAAAATAACACTATTTTCTACTTGTTCAGCTAATAAATAATTGGGCATAATAGTGACAAGACAGTGGAAAAATAAAATGAGATCCTCAAAATTATGGCAAAATGTTTCGCATAATCAATGACGACTCTTCGTCTTCTATTTTACAGTACTTTCATTTGTTTTGATTGTATTCATTGTTTTATTCTCATTTGGTACCAGTTTTTTCCCTTTTTTTGAACGAATTGCCAACCTTTCCACCAATTAGAAAATAGTAATGACAGTGTTTTGGTGGATGAAAAGCAGCTTTTCGAATCAATAAACTTGGTATTGGTGGACAAAGGATATAGCACACTTTAATTGTCCACATGAATGAATGAAGTAGTCTTTTCCATGTTGTCATTTCATCTTCCTCCATTTCAGTCTAGGTTTAATAACCGATATATGTATCAGCAGAAGTTCGATAAAAAAATGCTTCAGACAAGCACAGAAAACTTCGAATTCGTTGCAGTACTCATTAATGTATAAGCATTCTTTGTGACCATAAATATTCTAATTTCTTAATCTACCACACCCTTACCTGTTGATTTTCGTTAGCAATACATTTGCAGATTTCACTTGATTCTGCAAGAAAAACAACATTCTATGGTATTCATTTAAAAGTGAATTGAAAAATCTAAGCAGCAAACCTTTGGATGATGGAATAAATGATCCAATCACTACTTTGTCATCGTTGTCCTAAATTATCTCTTAATTATCACATATCACAAATTATTCAAATAATCTTTAATTAATAGAAAAGAAGTGTAATGTATAATTTAGAGTCGGTCAGTCTTTTAAAACGTATTCCTGTTTTTTTCTAATGTTATGTAAAATTCATTTTGCTAACAGAGGGGAACTGGAATTTTGAAGGATTCTTTCCTAAGAAATTTTAAAATTGTCATCCAATAGGTTGAAAGTTAAGTTATTAAACAGAAAAAAAATCATTCACCAAACCTGTTCCTCATTATTCATTGCGCTGGTATCAGAAGAAATCAGTTTAGCGTTTGTACTTGACTTACTCTCAGGCATACTATGAATCAAAGAATATGAAAAACTTCCAGAAAAATTCATTTGATCAGTCCATAGTATGCAATGCATGGAATGACATAATCAGTACGTATACTTATACTAAATGACGGTAATTATGTTTGGAAATGGAGTGAATGTAAAACTGAAGCTGAAGAGTTTTCCCTCACATTGTTATCAGTGTAGCTTAGAGTAAGTTTAGTGATCCATCTTTTAATGAAATTTTAATATTCACGGATGCTTAACTATTTCTGCTAACTTAATTATGAATCAAAAGTTATATCTCTGAAAGTACTTACCTCCGTTGTGATCTTGAAATCGATAGGTTGTCAACATCTAGATGATCAGTTTTGATACAAGATTTTGGCGTTTGTGAAAACTTTTTGCTCAGACCACTTTGGAAAGACAAGGAAAACCTGTCAGAAGCCTGTAATAATATTTGTTCACCTTTTTTGATGTATTACAGGCGAAAAATTATAACACAGATGAAGATGAGAAAAAAATATTGCTAAAATCAGTCCTCGCAACTTTTCCCTTGACAATAATAATACTTCCAAATGTAATCGGTTAAGGAAATGAAAAACTGAACGGAACTTTGTAGTTGCAATTTGTATCATTATGGTTGCGTAATGACTGAATAATTAAGCAATAAAACTTTAAATAGTTTCCACCTGGAAATCACTATAAAAATTTACATGATTATAGAAAGTTCCAGTTTACTCAGCCACAAATGCAATGTCAAGACAATGAATGATAAAACTGCAAAGTATTGGGCTGATTTTATAAGGTCATGAACGACTTGTCTTTTCCCCTGTTCTCGTCAATCGATCAAACATTTGCAGGGGAATAATATTTAATCCTACTTATCCATTGAAGGTTATTCATTCTTTGATAAACTTCTTTTTTTTAAAAAATTTAAAATACTTTCGATAATGATCTGAAATGAAACGATGAAAAAACGAGAATGAATTTGCATATAGTTTTATTACAAATTAAAATTTAACGAAGGCTACAAACAACTGAACCTATAAACAAAGAAAATGTAACACGACGGATCACATCTAGATTAAAATATCGAACAAAAATTTGCATAGCAAAATGTTTACTACAAGCCATAGCCTGAAAATAAGTTGAAGCTGTGAAACATAAGAAATCAACTTTTTTGTAGGTTTTTTTGCTTTGAAATTCTCACTTCCACTGAAATTTTCAGTAATTTTAAAAAAGTCGGATTAATTGCGGTAATTTCTTCAATTAAAAAAAATTTTGATTGGAATCTGCATAATATCTTAGCTTCCTTTCAAAAACGTTACATTTGAAAACATGACATTTTTATGTACGAGAATGAGACATACGTGGAATAGTTATTAACACTGATAACTCCATCTGAATCATAGTCATCCATGTCATCTTCGCTGTTTTTCACAGTCTTTAACTACACATGTATTTAAAGAGAAATTGTTGTGACAATTATGCGACTGTTAGAATAGAGGAGTTAATTCAAATTTTGACCATTCAACGGAGTCTAGCCATAAGATTAAAGCTTCAATTGCAAAATTAAACAAAATTAGATTAAAATTATAGAATTCAAAGAGGATCCAAATAAATAATTAACCTTATTTTTCTTCTCTTTTCTTCTGTTTGAGTTACTCTCACAATTGTCATCATTCTTGCTATCGGAAGGAATTTCTTCGTCACTCGGTTCCGCCGAATCTTCACTGTCATCATCTTTGTATTTTTCCGTCACTTTTTTATGATTTAATCGGTTTTCTGCCGTCGTGTCCACGTACCGAAATAGTGTTGTCTTTTGAGATTTGTATTTGAAAGCGATTACTTTCGGTTTGTTTCGATCCTCTTGAGGTTTAATAGTAAAACATGACAAATCATTTCCTTTTCGCAGCTAATAAATGGATACGATTTGTTTTTTATTTTCCTATGTTTGACTCATTTTGTAAGCATTGAATGCACATCTGAAGTCTCCTAACACCCATCAAAAAATAAACAACGCAAACTTAAAAAAGTTTTTTTTAGTATATACAGATAATTGCTGAAATTTCTAATTCAAAATATTGGAAAAAGCATCAGCAATTTAAAAAGTTACCAAAGCATCTTGCTGTTGTCTTTCGTCATCATTTCTGGATAAATCCTCTAGACGTTCGTCATTCATGTCTACAGTTAACAGTTGTCTTTGAAACGGCAAGGGCGTTATTTAATGAGTAGTTAAGAAGTGTAAATCAAATTTAATTAAAGGGAACAGGCTGTGAAATCATTTACGCAAGCGTTGGTGACGACAAAACAAGTATCAGAAGATGCACTCCATATATTTCACTATTACCGACGAGTTGTACGATTCAAGTCATATTACACTTAAATTTTAGGAAACAACAAAACTTCGGGGCATTTAAATTCTAAAAACATATTAGTAACAAAAAAACACTAACTTTCTGCAAAAACGTTCAAATTGGTGTCATCGCCGCCACTCATTTCGTTATAAGGGGCACTTCTTGACTGCATTTTTCCACCTTCTTCCCACTGAAGACGCAAACTTAGGGGGTCAAAAAAATTAGAAAATATTTGAAACAAAGTAGAGGGGGAGAAACAATGGATATTTTCGCGGATATTGACCATTAAGTTGTCATATTTTCTGAATTTTATAAACTGATAAAGTGATTCCTACCCGAATTACAGCAGAATGCGCTGTTTCTTCTAAAACCAATAGAAATATAGCAAATATTACACTGCGAAACATTTTTGTCGTTTTCTGGGTTTATTATTAGGAACCTGAATCCAAAACAGTACTTTTTTTTTATAACTTCTTTAAGAATAAGGAGATGGAAGAGTAAGAACATTTTCAATCGAAATTCAAGTTTATTTCTTGTGAATGAAATCATAAAGCTGTAAATGGATCATATCAAATATAAAATTCAAACATATGACTTCCTGTCCCAAGTGCCTAAATCTTAAAAATCTCGAAATGAGAGATAGTAATAGCACAACTCAAAAATCAGCTTTTTAGTACAAGATCAGATCAGTGATGCACCAAATATCCAAGTTACCTAACTAATAATGCTACACAAAATCTATTGAAAGTCTTCGAATTAAATACTAACCTTTCGTGAAAATTAGTATCTTTGTTGTTCGAAGCTCAATGAAATACGGGCTTGTCTTAATCTCATTAAAAAAATGAAAAATTAGACTTATGAAGTAGATTCAGAAACTGAAATGAAAATGAAAAATGACTGCGGAAGTAGAAAGACTGTGCAACGAAGAGAAATGACCTATGTAGTGTCCACTAGTAATGGTTAGTCAATAATAAGATCAATAATAATAAATAAGCGCTAATAGAGCGTTACAAAGTCTGAGTTATCAATGTAAATTTGTTATGCAATAACTTTTTAGTTCCATCCTTGTTAACCGCAGTTTTGAAGTTTGCTGATGAAGATTTCTTATGTATCTTTCAGAATCACTCAGTTTTAGCTTTATCAATCAGTCTTGTTTTTCAGCATGTGGATTTTAAGAGTAAGAAATTTGCAACCAGTGGTGCTAAATTATCGAATGAAGTTCCACAAGGTAGCCCTTGCAAACTTGTAACACTTCCTTGCATGTCAACAATAAATTGACTGCCACTTTTTATTTTTAAGTTATCATACTGCTCATATCAGTTATTTAACTTCGTAATAACTACTATTGGATCAATTTTACGATCTTCCAGTATTTCAATTTCATCGATATTATCATATTTGTGGACAAGTTATAATACTATATATCGATAAAAACAACGATGATATTAGATTATGCGGCTTCGTTACGAGTACGTATCTGACATACATACTCTTGGGGTACTGATACCATTCCAGGGTATCGTTTTAAACTTGGTCGTTTCCCTGAAATCGAAACTATTTAAGGAAAATTCCGAAAAATTTTCTTAACCCTTCGTTATAGAGCACTCTTTCAAACTTAAATAAAATTTAAAGGCAAGTTCATAGACCCATATCCATCTTGGTTCTCCCTTTTAGTTCGTCTAATATTATCCAAAAAAGTAATTTACATATACCATTAACAGCGGAGAATTCGAAATTCTGCAGTAAATTTGTCAGAATGATAAAAAGTTCCGTTCGAGCAAGTGCTTCTCCAAGGCACGATCGCTTCCCAATACCAAAGGGAATCAAATGTTCAAAGTTGAGGAGAGTGCCTTCACTACTGAGGAATCGTGATGGTTGAAAAGCTTCTGGATTTGAGTAAAGATTCTCATCGAAATTAATGGCACCAATTTGTGGCATTATCATTGTACCCTAGAATGAACTTGAAATGATACATTCTTTTCTTTCTCTTCTATTTCTACAATATCTTTCCCACCTTCTCGATTTTATAGCCACATAAAGTTGTGCTGGAAGTAGTAGCATGTGGTATATGCCATGGTAACACATTAATGATACGTTGCACCTCATAAATAACTGCAAGTGTGTAGTGCATGGTAGTTCGATCTGCCCAGTAAACCGTTCTCGTTCCCAGATTCTGAATACCGATCGGAATCAGATTATATTGTTAAGACATTTAAACACGGAACTTTATTGCTGCACCAAAACATTTAGCTCCTCATTAGCTACGGTAATAAAAACGAACTAAAAAGCCTCTCAATTTTCTGAATTTATATTCTGAAGTAGAAAGACGAATTTTTTGTCAATCAGTTAAATTAAAACTATTTGTTTCTATTTAGTTAAAACAGGGGCAAAGAATTACTTTATCGATTTCATCATGGACAAGCTTCTGGATATCAGGATTGTGAATAAGATAGATAATCGCCCAACGAAGTGTTGTTACTGTCGTCTCCATTCCACCTGTCCAGAGATCACCAGAATTCAGAGCCAATGTTATTTTACTAAAGATATGCATGACGAATACTTATTCCATAAAGAAAGATTTTTAAAAATACCTTCCAATATTCCTTTAAATTTCAGCAAATCAGAGATGCATTTAAGAAACGTAATTCTTTTTTACTATCAAAATAATTCCATGGAGTGTGAAAATTCAATAATTTAATTTTTCTATTACTGTTGTGAAAATGAATGGGAACAGTGAAGAGTAGTTAATTTAATTTCATCCCACTTTCGCAGAAGTTAATAGCTTGCCAAGAATAAAAAAAAAGTTCAATATTTTTACTTATACTGTCTTTCCTTCGTGTACTTGATCATATTTTTCAAGTAAGCATCAATGAAATCATTTGGCTCGTCATCTTTATTCGTAGAATTAATAATTCTCTTTTCATGTTCGTCAATATGTTTCAAAAAAAACCGCTGTAATGCAAAACCATTTTTGCAATATCGATAGTAAGTTGGCAGTAAAAATCGGACAAGAGGATAACGATCCACAAGTAACATCGGAACACTGACGAACTGGAATAGATGTAATCATAGCTAATTACAACCTATAATCATAGAATTCAATACCAGAAAGCAATCAGTTTTCGTTTCATTTTGGTTGCGCATTATTGGCAACTGTATTAAGCATTGCTTTTTACTGTACACAACTCTCACATTACTTGTACATAGCTCTCACATCTTTGAGGATAGAATCGATTAGTTTTTTGAACCGCAAGAATTCCTGATCGCCATATACGTAATTTTTGCCGAGAACTAGATCATGGATAATGTTACCCACGCAGAATGTAATTGGTAGATGGAGGTCAGTTACTGCACTTTTCTATAAATTAATCTAGTGTTAAGAATAGAACTTTAGAAGTACGGAAGAATGGGCAATTGAATATATGGATGAGCAAGTGATGGTCATTTATGGTCACTGGAATAGGGCAGAATTTAGAGAAAATATTGCTGGAATCAAATAATATTCCATGAAAAAAATTAACAAACAACCAATCCAGTAGATGCTATCTGCTTCTTCAGATGTTGAATGAGAATGTCCGCATAATACCGGATTTTTTGCTCCATCATATTCTTACCCATTCCAAAATTACGAAAAACTCTTAAAGCAAAACGCCTCTGTTGATTCCACTTCTCGTTCTGTGATAAGATAATTCCGTCACCATCTGGATGATGATCACTAAAGATTCCATAAACGAATGACATCGGCCGACCAGCAAAAATATTTCCTAAACGTTTTTATATAAACCTTTAAATCAAATCAAATTTCTATCCGTTTAAGCATGAACCTAAAACTTAAACACTTCATGTTTGTAACGTTTACAGCTTAGTCGTTAGCTTTTCACTAAAATAAAAAAAAAAAACTAAGTCTAATTTATTGCTTCTTCCATTTTTGAACTGAATCTTTCAATGGTTTCAGTTACTGGCCCTTACGAATGGCTTTACCTTGGCTAATAAGTGCTTCACGAAGAAGTTTGTAATCTGCAAGTACGACAATTGGTCCAGGAAGCCATATGGTGAACACTGGACCGAATTTCTTTTTCCACTTGATCATTGAACGATGTGGATAAGCTAGATCAATCTAAATCACATTTCTTCGCTTTTATGCATGAGAATTTTCATGTGACATAAGATAGACCTCTGGCAAGAACATTGCATTCTGATTTAAATTAAAGTCAGAATTTTAATCAATAGTTTAGAATTTCAACCGCGAATGATATGAGTAATACTTTAGTATTGGCTGCTGAAATAGAAGTGTTTGAGCTAAATGCTTAGCCAAGAAATTCTATCTAATCTATTTTACTTGAAGCAAATGCCCAGTAGTTTAACTAAAACTGACAGTTTCAAAACTGAAATCTATACCACGTTTGGTGTCTGCAGACTTTTTTTGAAGTGACGGTTAAATTCATAAAATCATTCTGTTCTTCTGAATTAAAAATTTGGCGACGTTTTTTGCATAAATTATTTCAAGGCAGAATTTGTAGTCAAACTTTTTGAAAAAATGATCGAACATTTTGTTACTTCATTTTTTTTGAAAGGTTCCTTCTAGACATCATTGGCTCAGTAATTTCTTTTGGATACTCAGTAAAATTATATTTACTGTTAATACCTGTAAGAAATTCCCAACAAAAGGTAACGGGATTGGACCTGGTGGATATTTGTGTCGCAGAACGATGTATTCGCTATACAGATAATAGATGAAGATGTGGAATACAAATATTATGACAGCAAAAAGTACAGTCATGAAGATGATGCCAACTGCAAAACATTATTTTAAAAAAAAGTTGAATTTTTTCAGTGAAGAAATCTTCTGAAATCAAAATTTAATAATGAAAGGAACTTTCTTTTAAATTTTCAATCTGATGAAAACTTTCACTTTTATATCGTCTTTTTTTTTGACCTTAATGGGTTACTAATTTTACTTACCGGCCAAATCACTCATTCTTTTTTAAAAACTCTTATTTAATAACAACAAAATGACGAATAAAAACACTAACAAATGTAAATGGCACACAAATTTATTTATTTTTTTGGCCATTTCTTCTCAAAAACTTGTTTAATTTTAAAACATATAAAAGCGATAAACCAAGAAAAAAAAACAAACAAATGGAAATTACAGTGATGGGGGAACATGACAGTAATTAGAAAATATCTTGAAAAACCACAAGATTTCAAGTGTTTCTTCATCTTCGTCTATATCTTTTGGTTGACACAAGCATGTTCTTTCGATAACCTGGCTATAATTGCCAATTCAGGTCATACATCTTATCTTTAAACTCATTCTTGACATCTTCATCCACACTTTTGTAAAAATCATTGATTTTATTCATCCGATCAATATCCTTCATTTCTGGATTCATCAATACTGCCGATAACTGCAGAATTTATCCTTCTTTCAACTAATATTCTTTATACTTCTCCAGTGTCACGTACTTAACATCCTAATCTAACTATTACTTTGCAATAAATGCATAAAATATTTTTGTTATAGCAAAGTCATCTTGAAAATTCCATCTCCTTTTTCAAAATTAAAAGTTGATAGTTCTGTAAGTAAACAATTAGTCGCAATTAGTAATACCGTAGACGGCATAAAGAGAACATTTTTAAAATGAAAACCTTTGCAAAAACCGCTTGCGCTTTGTTAGACATGCCTGCGACAATAGCATGAATTCGTTCACGTTTTTCTCTCTCTTCCAAATCTTTCATCTTTCGGTATTGATTGTACAGTTCCTATAAAATGATGCTTTTCTTTAATCATAACTTTTTTAATTTTTCCCTCAGACGACCATTCTCCGTCTTACCTTCTTGCTCCAAAACCTGGCAACCACTGCAAAACTTCACCTTACCTGATTTTTGCTGTCCAAATTTAGTATTAGTTGATCAAGTTTGTTCTGTTTATGTTGAAAACTTTCATCAGGATTTGTTATGATTTTGTGAAACTGCAACAGACAACATTCTATAATGTTCTTCCTTTCGCATACTTGCTTGTTTAAAATTTAGCTTTGAAGAGAATTTTCATCTTAATTCAGACCTACCAAACTGTTATTCTCAGTCAGCGAGAAACATATATATAATATGCGTATAAATTCAAATAAAACCTACCTTCTTCTTTACATCATCTGATGTTCCACTTAAGAAGTCCGGCAGCTTAGATCTCACGTGAACTGAGATATTGTAATCATTTTCCTTTGTTGTTAAAATGGACTTCATAACATTACCACTTCTTTTCAGTTCCGTGGTATGACCAACATATTCCATCTGATTTGTTTGTAGGGGACTACTAGTCATCCAGGTCGATTGGAATGGAAGATTCTGGAGACTTGTTGTTGGAGCCGTAAAAGCTCCTAGAGAGAATGGTTGCTCAGCGGAGATTGGAAGCGATATCGGATATAAGTTTGGGTTGAATCCATATACCTGGAATGCTATTGAACCCAGGAAATTTTAAATGAATTCATTTCTGCAACATCTGCACACCCACTGAAGTTCACACTTCTCGAATCTGAAACGGCAATTATTTTCTCCTTGTAATATTTGATAAATAAACTACAAACTGATCAAACTTTTGGAAGTAATAAACTTTCTGGCATTGGTATTTTTGAGTATGATCGTTGGTAATAAGGGAAGAAAATGGGTTTTTCTGTTATTTGTTGCTGATGAGGTGATCGATATTGCCACTCTTGAATATTGAACTGCGCACTGGTTCGAATGAAATTTAGGTAAACCACTGATATCCACGTAAACCACATTCAAAAAATGCAAATGATAGAAATTAGTTATGATTGACGACAAACAATATGTAACAAAAAATTTGGAAATATATCGGGAATGAAGTCAAGTACAGAATTCATTGCTCAAATAAGAACTAGGAAAAAATAGAAATTAGATACACTTTGTTCGTATCACGGTGGAGAATTTAAAAAATGGTCATGAAAAGAAAACAGGTCATTGCGTGCTCCATTAACTGCTAAAGAGTTAAGAATTCTATTGCCTATCAACCAGCTGCGATCGACAAAACTGTCTCCGATCCAGAGGATTTACGCAAGGATATAAATGACCTATTTCTCAATCTTTTATTCTCGAAGGTTGAATTTCAAAACGAATTCAAAAGAAATCAGCTTAAACAAGGTCAATCAAAATTTTAAACATTACAATCATATTTTCATTTTTCCCTATAATGAAATACTAATAATATATCTAAAACAGAAAGGCTCATAACGACCTCAGGAAATCTTTAAAATGAAGTATTTCAGTGGGATGATAAAATTTAAAAGCAACTGGTGGTTACCGTTGAAGGTCATTTAGTATTTAGCTCTGGCTATAGTGCAATTCTTTGACCTGATTACGTTATCGTAATGGTTTTTTAATACTGACAACTGCGAGGAGTTGTTGCAAATAAGTATGGGTAATTAATTTGATTATTAGCTGACCTTATCCAAAGCTATTTAATGAAAATTTCAAAAAAAAAGATTGATAGGTAATGGCGATGATTCAGTAAAAAGAATGTTGTCAATGGTTTGCCTCAAAAATAGATACATTCTTTAAACATTCTTTAAATCTCTATATTTTCTTTATCACTAACTACTCATCACCTGACCATTATTAGGTGATTCTGGTAATTTCGACACTTTTCAATTCTCTATTTCATTAATTTGTAGTTTAGAATGTTTTTCACATTTACATTAAAAAATTCAAATAAAATTGCCTTTTAATAAGGAACATACGTGAGAAAAAGAACATAGAGATAGTTTAAAAATCAACATTTTGAAGTTGCTGTTATCAGCTTTGGTTCTAATCAAGCGTCATTTTATCAAAATCATTGGCATGGAGCTAATCAAGGGTGTGATTTAATTTCGCGACAACTGTAAGATTTTGCAAAATTTTGTTAAAAGTGATAATAGTATAAATTATTGCCTTTTTAAAAAATTTTTTATTCAGTCGAAGATAGCAAGATAAATCAAACCTAAATAAAATAGGAGTGAAAAGTTAGCATTTAAATTTAAATCCAAGATATCATTCATGCTGATTTTAGTATTGTTTACATTGGAATTATGACAATAAATAGACCTGAACCGTTGAAAATTGATAGTAAATTACCACCTCACCGTTGTGGCTCCCATTCATAAGTGTACGGATCCCGAACAAGTTTGTTGCGGAAGATAAATTAATCCTTCTTATACCGATAATGTTCGGTATGATTGTCGATGTTTGGTGATTTAATTTTTGTTTAGACAAAATCCCGAGGATAGTAGACTTTGTCCGAGTGACGTGACTTGAGGTTATTGATTGCGTTTGCAGAAATACTAATATTTTGTACGTGCCTCCCGATAATTAGGATACTGCAGGAAAAGTGGATTATGGCAATAATTTAGGGCGAATTTTCGATTTTCGGCACATAAATGAGCAAAAAGTTATAAGAGCAGTTTGTTCTCTCAGTTGCTGAGTTACTGTCATCGGTCTTTCTGGTAATGGAACGCCACACTTTTCGGCATATAAAAGACAAAAAACCTGAAAATGTGGAATATTTAGTCGTTTAAGTAGTCACAATTACATTGGTATCTAAAAAGCTCACAGTTCAATTTTTGATCTGTGAACACATGTTTCTTTTTTCAATATAAAAGGCAGAGATATTACATTTCCAAGACTTCTTTAAAAAAATTAGAAATAACAATAACAAAAGGATGAGAACTAATGCTCTGTCTACGAAGAAAGCTAAGGTTGCAAAAGCCTTCGAAGAAAGCAAATCTCGAAAATCAAGAAATCAGTGCAAATGAAATACCATTCTTTTCAGGCCAGATATTCTTCCGGAAGTACTTACTAAAATATTCTGTTTTCATGAAGTCAAAAGGAACTAAACAAAAACGACCTGACCCACCAATACTATAATTCATTTGACCTTAATACAACGTCACATTTTGCCAAAATTTCTAAAATCTAAAAGTGGGGAACTATCCATTGATTTAATTCCTTCTCAATAAAATACACCACTCATTTCTGCATTTAAATACGAATCCTTAATTATCTAATTACAACTTTGCACAGCTTCTTACTCAAAATCTGATGGATTTGGGCATACATGAAAGTAATATTGTTTGAATTTTGAACAAAATGTGATAAAATTCGGAGCATAACCAGAGTCTGGTTGTAACACTCTGTGAAAAATGAACTCTAAGGATTGATATTTAAAGTTCTGCTAGTTTAACTTATTAGAAGCTTCTGGAAAGCCTCAAAATGTTTTCCTATATCCTTATCAGTAAATTATTCCGTTTTGTTATCAACCCTCCTATCGTTTTGCAATACTTTGAATGTTTCATCAAAAAGTTGCACTAAACGCTTAACGAGTGAACATCACTTACGCAGAATCATTCATCCTGATTTTTACATTCGCTTGATATAGTAAACAAATATGTTTAAATGCTTCACAGAACTCCATCATCGATTCATTAAGATTTCTTATCACTTCATCCATACATATTTTTTGGTATGCTACTTAAATACAATCAATATTTGATTAAAGTAAATACTTAGACTAATTAATTAGTCAACTAATCAATATCAAAATAAATAATGAATGCCACCAAAGTATTGATTTGATAGCATTCATCATTTATTTTGATTGTAAACAATAGTTAATGTTCTCATTTTCTTTACTAATTAAATCATTTGAATAACCTCCCCTTCATTCACTGATTGTTAAATGACGAAGTTTAAGTGGGTAGTAATTGTCGTCAGCCGCATTCTGTCTAAGCAGCAATATCATTCGTTCATACACTTCAATAAGTCATTCAACATGCGTTGAAGTTGAAACTACGATTGGAACTTCTGTTGAAAGTTGCCGTTGAAACTTGAAATTTCATGTAATAACATCATTTATTAAAACATTTGAAATCTTTTTTTACCATTTTCATAATTTTCTACTAGTATACTTTATCAGCGATTTCCTGGTGGCTTCTTCAATCTTCATCGTCACTACGTCCAAGACGATGTGTTGCAATCTTTCGGTAAAAATAATGAATAAGAAACTGCGGATACGTTTGTAACGCATCGTAATCGATATTTCACTTTTGTTATTCAAATATTAATTTACCGGTAACAATAATGCTAAGAAGACAGACTATTTCAGTTTCAGGGCTTTCAGGGGTAGTAACTATACAATTTTTTAGTAGCATTTGTCTACCCAAGAGTTTAGCATCAATTGATCAAGACTTTATCATCCAAATGATAAGATGATGAGAATTTAGCACTAAAATACAATGTTGTGTAAGTGATGCCTCTATTAAAGAAGAAACTCATTAAATATATATTTTGCAATCTCGTCATTCTATTGCTAAGAATTGTAACATGATGTTTAATGCGATTGAAGCATCAAATTTTGGTTAAATTAAAAATTTGACATTTAAATGCATCCTGAACTAGACGATACAAATCAGAACAGATGCACAGTAGATTTAAATTATGAGATTTTTATTTGCAAATTTCTGTTATCTGAAATCAAGGTATTTGGAATTAATAGAGAGAGAGGTTAATACATAGACATAAAGGGATTTCTAATGAGAAGGAAACAAATTTTTCAGAAAGAACAGCACTGATGTAACATCCTTGTGCAAATAATTTTCATCACTGTCAAAATATTTCAATTGGAGCGAGAAGTACTCTTTTCTCTAAAAAAAGTACATATGGTTCACATGAGAAATATGCCGCAAAGATATGTTGCAAATTGCCTTCTAAATAGAATGTTGAAAATGAAATTATTGGGTAATTTTTAAAAAATTTTTTGTTATGATTCAACATACAATCTAAGACTAAATTGGCTTTTAAATTTAGAGACAGGTTTAAATAATTTCATCAAATGAACAAAATGATTGAAAGACTGAAAAAAGATCATCATAGGAAAAAAATTTATTTGATAGATACATATAGGTTTGAAGGAAGTTATTAGAGAAAGATATTTGATCAAACAGAACTGGTTTTTCAGGTACTTGTTAATATAAAATCTTGCTGGATAAAGTGCACGAATATTAATTAATGTATCCGCGCACATTGAGGAATCGAAAGAAATTTGGACATGCACAGCAGAAGCGTACAAATGTTTTCTACAGTACGCCTTGTAGTCCAATTTTATTTGTGTTATGAAAAGAAAATAGCAACTTCAGCTATAAGTGATTGATGATTAAGAAACAGTAATTTCAAACATGGATCATTAATTCGATAAAAATAAATTCACGTCGAGTTTAAACTTGCAGCGAGGAGTGAACAGTAATTAGTTGCAAATAACTGAAAAGTGGTTCGCCTAAGAAATAATCAAAAAATATTGAACAAAATTCAATAAAAGCAGAAACTAAAATTGAGAAATTTATGTCTGCCTTTGCTTCCATTAGCTTTCAGACTATTTGTAGCTGTTAATTTGTTGTAAAACACTGGGATAGAATGCTTTGATAGTCAACAAACAATTGACTTACACATCCTAACTGATAGTTGCTTCATGATTCACTTATTTTGCTTCGTGTTTCATGCAGTTGCTTCATACAAATCTTTTCCAACCAGATCAGATCACGTTTCGTCAGATTCATAAATTTTTTGAAGTTAACCCTGCGGAATAATGGGCTGATCAGAATAATTAATGTACCTTACTAATATGAAATGAAAAAGAACAATTAGAGTGGAAGATTTCCACAATTTTTAGAAAGAGAAATTTTTAACTTGAAAAATAAAAAAAATGACATAAAGTTTAAGCGGTATTTAAAAAATGTATTCAAAAATATTTCGATTAATATTGATTAGCAGAACTTACTGACATCATATTTGTAACTTGTAAGGGTGAAGAAAGTAATTTATTTTACAGCACTATCTTACTTTTGCTCAATTCGAATCTTTCTAGACTTTCAAAAATAAACATTTGACTCAAATCATTGGAAAGGATAGGAACATAAAAGATTATTTCTCAACATTGACCTAGTCCAATCACAATATTGGTTAAACACAGTGCACAATGTATCCGGAGGCCTTTACTTATCTTGCCTGTTTTTTGGATAATTAACCTTTTTACAAAAAAAAAAAACCATAGTTCTGTTCTAACAGTAGTATTTAACTTCGATTTTGGAAATTTATCATTATTTTTGTAACTCTACAATATTAATCTAAAAAAAACCTCATAATTAAAAACTGATTTTAATTTTCATGATGTTAACAGACTTCAGTGAAGTGAAAGTCTTTCTTCATCTCACAGTAATACGGGAAACATTTCATCAACTCAGCGTGTTAAGGAGACGTCTCACGTATCATAATGTTTTGGAGTGGGCAATAATTTCTCTTCAAAGTTCAATTCGTTATGCTAGTTATTCAGTATAAAGCTGAGCTTGAGAAGGATAAAACAAAAAAAGCAATTTGCAGACTATATGATACAACGAAGAGATATGATGGAGCAGATGAACTTGGATAATTTATGTGACGACTAAATGACATGCAAGTCCTTTTACCCTAAAAAAAGCCTTTAAAAAAAGAGTTTTTAATGAGTGTCTTCCATTAAAAACTGTTCTTTATTATTTTTTTTTTAATTGAAGTTTTACATCCTACTGGAATGTGCCGTACCAAAGTTTATATCTTAAGGACAAGATTTCCAATTTCCGGAGATTCCTGTTTCAACTGTGACGTCGTACTTGTAATAAAAAATCTTTGCTTTCTCACAATTCTTAAATTTCCTTTTTCAGAATTGCTTGGCTAGTCTTCCTCCACTACTGATGAACTCGTTTCATGTCATATTTGATTAATAGTGACATTTTGATGATAATGACAATTATTATTAGTTAACTGTCTCCTCTTTTCTTAGAATATCGGCAAAAATATAATCTGGTAGCGATTTCAGTAAAATCTTAATTTTGATGTTAATTTGTATCAATTAATTTATGCTTATAAAGTCCTTAGATATGAAAGTTACAAGCAATTAGTTCCAAATAATTGAAAATAATGACGATAACTTTAGCGTTGGTGTAACTGCCACTTTAATAGCCATACCGTTGTCAAAACTAATCAAATATCATCCTTGTTAATGATAAAATGATGATAAAATGATATGATGATAAAATGATGATTAATGATAAAATGATTACTTTAAGTAAAGTGAAATTTGCTTTTCTAGGCGAATTTCGTTATTTGTGAGGCTGGAGGGAATCCTTCAGAAGTCGAAAATTAGCAGCCAGAAATTCCTTTTCTTTTTATCAAATTCCCGTCTCGTTTGTTTCTTATGATGAATACTTTCAGTTCGGTTAGCAGAAAATGACCGGGAACTGCACAATAGTTGATGAAAATTTATCGAACAATGGCTCTCATTTATCATATCAATTAAAAAAGAATTTTTGATAGCAGATTTTATGCATATTCCAGTTTTAGAATGATCTGTTCAATCTCTCGACACTTTGAAGCGACAACGATGAGCAATGCTGTAGTGCGACGAACAGTTTAGAAATAGAAATTTCAGTTTCTAATATAATGGTTAAGAAGTTACTATCATCTTAATTTATAATGGAATTTTTAATATGTTCCAAATGGGATCTGTAAATGAATGTTTGATATACAAGTCTTACATGCAATATAGTTGAGCTTGCTATTTCACATTAATATTTTTTCGACAAAATTCATGGAAATCATACAAGGAATAAATTCTGAATTTTATTGATATTACTTCATCCAAAATTTAATGCGGAATTTTGATAACTATGATACTACTAACATTATTCATCTTTTATAATTTGTAATACTAACGAACAGAGATATAAATACGAAACATACCGTAAAAAAATAATTATTATCAACACTAGTAAACTTATCATTTATCTTATATCATCTCAAAATTTCCCTATCAAATTGATGATGACAGATTACTGGGAAAAGTGATCGATAAGGAGGATCAACAATAAGCGATTTATGTGATATTTTTTCTGGTTCATCATAGAAGTGAAATTGTGTATACAATAAAATAAGATCGAAATTCTAAGGATGAATTCTTCGATAACGAATAAATGTGTGTTCTTGCATTCCATGCGTTAATGTTTCCATATCGAGGCGTGCTTGCAAAGTGTTCTTGTCCAGTAATGTCCATTCTCGTATCAACTATAAGTGACTGATATAACATAGCCTGAAGTCTTTGATTGACCACTAAAATCATGCTGTTAGGTTTGCAAATTTGTATGTAGATAAAGCATGCACATAATAACAAACCGTAATGATACTATGCATTAAAAAGTTTAATAGTTAATAATGACAGCAAATGTTAGTTGTTGAAATTATGATCAAATATGCAAAAATAAAAGTTTTCTCAAATTTTTTCATTAGCAGTTATATGATAAGATTATCAGGACTGCCTGGACTCTCAGTACGCTTTCCCGATATTACAGAATTCTCATCCCATGGCAAGTACAGACTTTTTAAACTCGTTTTTTCGAAGTTAACTTTTTCTTGTTCTTATAACTAACCTATTAGATAGCAGAAAGTAGGCATGTAATGTTTAATATAATGTTTAACCAAACATGTAATGTTTAATAATAAACTTTCAGTGAATTCCCAAAGGATTCTTTTTTGGTCTTTGATTATCAGTAATATTTTCATCAATGGGAAACTCGAACTGAAAATTAATGGAAATATTTGCATGCAGGAAGCTTTGCTATTTTACAAAACGTTATCAAACGAAGTTTGCATTGGATTAAACTTTTCTGTTCTTAATTATAGTAAATATGCAAGATATTTGAGGAAAGTGAAAAATATTAAACAATAACAGGAGCAGATGATTATAGTTTGAAGTATTTTGTATTAAATAAAGTCTTAAATATTCAACAACTTTAGGAAAAAAATTTACATAGAATGAATAACTTACACTAAGAACTGGTAAATCTCTGCTAAAGCTAATCCGTCCAATATCTTTCAAATGAAATTCGATTCGGTTTGGCTCAACGATTCCTTGTTCGATCGTTACAAAACATGAAAGTTTAATTCATGAGAATTAATTAAAAATGTTTTGGAATGTGTCACCTTTCATTTGCAACAAACAAAAGCGAAACAGATTATATCTCGTTTGTACGCAGATATAATTTATATTGAGCAAAAAACATGCAATGGGAACTTACCATTATCCATTACAGTAGTAAGTGAAGCAGTCCTTGTATTAGGATCTACTGTAATATAACCGTATTCGCTGTGTAATTCTTCATGGTTAGATAAAGTCCATGCAAATGCTCTAAATACAGTACATGGTAAATCAGATTGGAGAAGGTTCATATATTTTTTTACTATGACATTAATTTCGTTCCTGTCTACGACACAGAATCAAGTGTTGTCGAAGATATTCTAAGTTGAAATCTTTAACAGTAATCTTATTTTCAGTTTTATGAGCGATTCTCTCTAAGATTCGATAATGTTGCCGAAATAATAGTGTAAAAATGAAGCGATGTCCGGTTTTGTATTTAAAATAACCCCATTGGCGCAAATATTAAGAGAACAACACACGTGTAGTTGAGCGCTTTCAATCCGGTCATATGTTCATCAGAAATTGAAATTTCGACTTGTTCACCATATGTAAATGTAGGTATCGTTGGAAAAATTGCTTTTCCTCCATGTTCCGATCGCCAAATTCCAATTAGCCAAGCGATGGGTTGTAAATGAGAAGGAACACGTGAAACATCGAATCCTGCCAAAAAAAGTCAAAAAACAAAGCGAATCAATGCACATCGTGCAGAAAATGCATGTCTTGCAAAATGCAAAGTGCAAAATTCATGTCTATGAATTTTGTTTCTTAACAGAACTTCAAATTTTCAAAAAGTTCAAAATTGAAAAAATGGTGGAAATATTTGATTGGAGATGTTAACAAACCTATGTGATGAGAGAATGAACAAAAGTTGAGAAATTTTTATAAATTTCGTACCACAAAATGAAAAAAGCTCCAAGTGCTTATATTGAATTTCTTTTAAAAAACCAAAAACATTTCATTTTTTCGGTTTCTTTTAAGAATAATGGAAAGAACTGTTCTAAGGATTATTCATACTTCGTTCTACTTTTTTTACACAAAAGCCGCATGATTTGGGACATGTTTTGACAATATAATCAGTAGTTTGACAAAGCGAAGCATACGTTGTAATCCAATCGCGGCAATTATTGTTCGAATCCTCACAATGTTCACCTGAATTTTTTCAAATCTAGATCTTCTTGCTTTTTTCAATCATAATTTGTTAGAAATAAATAAATTGCTAGGCAACAGGAAATAAAAATATTGCTTTGAAAAAAAAATGCTATCAGGTTTTACAAATGATAGAACAAAATTACGCCGAAAATAATCATTATATGTCATTTCAAACTAACAAAGTCGATAAATTTTTAACAACTTTCCTAAAATATGTGAAGATGACCTTTGACGACATTGAATATTGCAGTAATACTGAAAGCCGAAAATAGTAAAATGGATTTCATACTCTGGAAAAGAGAGAAGCAATTGGGTAAGGCAGGTCACCGTTTTCTTGTTGCAAAACATCGCTTTCAAATCTTTCATCAGTGAGAAAGATAATAAATGCGACAATCACAGTAATGACAAAGTGCCATAACCAGACTTCTCATTGCTCTTCTCACACTGCTCCGATAGCAATAATGATAAGAAAAATGATACAACGCATTTATTTGATATCATCATCAGCTGATAGCCAACGATCAAGTTTTGAGATTATTAAGGTCAGCTTCTCCTTTTCCTCATTATCCACACGAAATGTCCTACATAAGGTTTTCATCATGAAACAAAATATATGATCGTCATTGAAATGATTTCTATAAAAACTTGTTTTGAAATTTCAACATTCTCTCCAAGTTCACTACACATCTTCTTCAGGTATCAAAATGCCCTTTACGATGAAAGAGTTGAAAAATTGCATTACTTTTCTTTCATCTATTCATGAAACTAATGTACACAATCTGTTTTAAAAATACCGGTACTACCGGAAGCTATGTTAAACATATTTTCAGAAACAACAGTTAAATTTCAAAATATTCCTAATGTCACCGTTGCAAAATCTTCCAAATTCAAAATTATTTCAAAAATTGCTGGAATGATTCATTCTAATGCTGAATTAAATATATAATTTAAAAAAGAAAATGTTATGTTGACAGTGTTAATTTGGAACAGCTGTCAATCAGGAATAATGCATGGTGACGAATGGAACAATACAAGATGTTGAACCGATCTCATTTACTTTTCATTACGTTATAAAAAGATCAAAGGACTGCAGTGGTAGGTAAATCATCCACCAGAAATAATGTGTCTTGTAACTGATAACGATAGTTTTAAGTAGTTTAGATTATATTTTTGTGTTTTGTAGTATCATATTTTTGAATTAAATTTATTTTTATAACTGCTAGCTGACGTATATTTCTACTAAAACTTATTATTTTCATTTACAGCAGCTAAAAGATAATAAATTTAGTGCCAATTACCATAACTTTTCATCTATAAAAAGGAATTGATGAAAATCACAGTTTTAAACATAACATCTACAGTAAAATTACTGATAATGTTTTTTGAAATTTTCCATTATTGAAAACGTAAAACAAATTTCAAAAGAGCCTCATAAATCTAATTGGCATACGATCCAATTCTTTTCAGGATTAACTTAAAGATTCTAGCTTAATCCATTTCCAACAGTTGGTTCATTATCACCGTATGCTCTTCAAAGTCTTTTTTAATTTTACCATCCTTATGCTGATTGTATACTAATCATTCCAATTTGATAAGAACTTAATCTGTGTACAATTAAAAAATCAATCGCTTTTTTTTTGCTGAAAACAATATGAAGTGATAAGAAGTACCACAAACAATGACGTGTGGATGTCAAGAAGAAAGAAAGAGAAGGTGAGAGAGAAAGAAAAAGAGAGAAACGGTTGAGGGAAAAAATTGGTTCAAGATTGAGTTGGATGTCAACATAAAATTATTTCCTGCTCTATAAGTAAGCTTTTTGATTAAAAAAACAGGAAAACGGTTGTATGAAATGACAAAGAGCCTTTCATTCGAAAAGGTATATTTGAAGTTTATTCATTTCCTTCCTGGCTATCGGTTCCTTCCCACAGCTTTTATTTACTTGTCAGTTTCTTATTCCAAGCTTTTCATTGTCAACAATTTAGTTATTCCATTTGTAGCCTTTTAAACCACCACCAATAACTATATTATTGCTTTTTTCATCAGAAAATCATTTTCCACTATTAGTTCAACTAATTCCTAATTGCTATGTACTGTTGTGTTCATTTCTTATCTTCTAAACTCGTAAAAGTTTTTCATTTGTGGAAAAGATTCATCTACCACATCGTCTCATTTGCAAAAAATTCTATCGACGTTTATACAATGAATGTATTTTGTTTCATCAGAATGAGTTTTTTTTTTTTCTTCAAGATGATTAGGCGTTCTTTGTGATTGCACAGTTGAAATGGACTTTGTTGTTTAACAGTTAAGTTTTAGAAAGAAATTTTCCAACTTATTTTCTGACAACCTAACAAACAGAAGCACCAGTCATTGATGTAATCATTTTCGAATAGACAGATCTTTTTTGCCTTCAGTGAAATGGTCCTATTAAATAATGTTTCTGTGAAAATTCCGGAGAGTTGGAACCAGTACAGAACACTGAAAATGGAATGTTGGGAATATGCAGTTGCTATCAAGATAATAGTAATAATTAATAATAATTATTATTAGTGGTAATTAATAATAGTAATAACAATAATAAAAATAGTAATAACAATAATAATAATAGTAATAATAATAATAATAATAATAATAATAATAATAATAATAATAATAATAATAATAATAATAATAATAATAATAATAATA